TTAGTCATACAAAATACTATTTATGCATAACTCATGCTTTGCATATCTTATTAAATGTTATCCTGAATAATATCCGAGTGATACAACTTATGCGAGTTTACTTGTATTATTAGTATTATCCTTGCATTTCATATAGCATGTTTTATGTTGAGAGGAGAGGAAGTCTCAAACTGTTTTGCAGAATTTACTAGAAACAACAGTGACTGTGTATTTTTTAGACGATTATAATCCCCCAACTGAGATGAGCCAATTCAGCACATATCAAAATCCCTCCTGGTCTGCAGAACTCAGTGTGCCTAAGAATAAGCATGCAAGGTGATTGAGGTCATTTAAGAATGGGACAGAGCATTGCTTTGACCAATTCTGTCCTTATCTTAATATTTTCATTCTGTTCGGATACAAGTACTGTACTATAATTACCAATCGGTGGAACTCTTGCTATTTAAGACTTCTTTTAATGCAGCTGGGAATGCCCCAAGCAGCATTCATTTCAGTCAATAGGAAATGCCAGATAGTTGTCATTGATTCAGTCACTGACAGCACTATTGGGGACTTGGGGCTTCTGCGTGCGAATCATTTGATGAATAGCATGATTAAGAATACATATGTAAATATCCAGCAGCCTGAGCATACCTATTCTCAAGGTCAAAGCAATGCCTTGAGCTGCATATTGTCTTAACTTCAAAAAAGATGTGTGGTTTGACTGGTGTCCTTCGGAGCAAAACATTTTAATTGCAATTTCGGTGTCTGTGTTCGTTTTGGTTGGTTTCAAAAACTGAAAAGGTAGACTGAGGCATGTCAAGAAGAATACACAATCTTAGCAAAGAGAGACTATTTGAATCTGAGTTAGCACCTGGGCTGTGCTAACTCAGAATTAATTGCAAGATGTTTTGGCAGAACAATAGAACAGTTATTTTTCCAAGGTTAAGAGAGAATTGAAACAATATTGAAAGATATTTGATGACCGTGCATTAAATGATGAGCTCTTCTGAGTTGGTGAAGCCACTGCACAGTGTGACACTGAATCACATATAGAAGGTCCTGGGTTTGATCTACAATCTGTGCTGAGTTGAGTGTGAATATTGGAAGGGACGTGTATATAACACCCCTCACTCAGAGTAGCATCCTAGAATGCTTGACAGTGGCAGAACATGATGTCGAGCCAGGGGGAGGGAAAAGGTGAGCATAGGCACGATCAAAGAGGAAGGTGTTTAGGTGCAATCTGAAAATGGGTAAGGAAGTGGCAAGGTGTAGGGATAGAGGAAGAGTGTTTCAGAGCATCTGGACGTAGTGATTGGAAGTGCAGCCACCGATGGTGGAACGGAGGGTACGAGGTTACATTCAGGAAGCTGGAGCCAGTCAAGCAGAGGCAGCGGGTAGTGGTTTGGGGAGTGAGGAGATATGGAGGTGCCAGGGCATAGAATCATAGAACTTTACAGCACAGACGAAGGCCATTTGGCCCATTGTGTGCAATTGACTGCCGCATTTCGCCCACAAATATACAGTCAATTCACTTGACAGTATATTCTGTGGAGCTCTTAGAGAAGTTTCAAAGGCATGATAAGCGCTATATCAAATGCAAGGATTATTATTATTATCAGTGCCAGCTCTTTGAAAGGGATACCAACTAGTCCCACTGCCCCGTTCTTAGCCCATAGCCCTGCAAATTCTTCATTTTTAAGTACCTATCTGATTCCCTTTTGAAAGCTGTTATTGAATCTGCTTCCACCACCTTTTCAGGCAGTGCATTCCAGACCATAACAATTTTCTGCATTAAAAAAATGTCTCCTCGTCTCCCCTCTGGTTTGTTTGCCAATTATCTTAAATCTATGTGCCCTGGTTACCAACCACCCATTAGTAGGAACAGTTTCTCCCTATCTACTCTATCAAACCCCCTCATAATTTTGAACATCTCTATCAAATCTCCCCTCAACCTTCTCTGCTCTAAGGATAATAATCCCAACCTCTCTAGTCTCTCCATATAATTGTAGTCCCTCATGAAGGGATTTCAAAACAAGAGTGAGGATCTTGAAAAAAACCTGTTTGGTGATCAGGAGCCAGTGGAGTTTGGCTAGAACTGGTGTGATGGGGGTATGGAGTTTCGTATGGGTGAATATGCGGGCGGCAGAGTTTTGGTTCAGCTGGATTTTATGGATGGTGTAGCTGGGGAGATCGGTAAGGAGGACATTTGAATAGTCAAGGCAAGAGATGACAAACATATGGACAGGTGTTTTGGCTGCATCTGTGGTAAGGTTAGCTGATCTCACCTTGGACATGAGGTTTGTTTTCCATCAGCTGGGTGTCTGATACATGTGGAAACCCAATACCAGAAATGATTAGGTGCCATGTGGCAGAAACCAAGGCTTGAGGAACACAGCAACTGTGTTGGAGTATTACTTGAATTTAGTTAAAATTATGCAGCTTCTAGTTTATTGCACTGGCAAACACTGGCAAGCTTCCCAATGCCTATCCAATTAGATCTCCATACCATTAGGAAATTGGCTTGCATTGTTAACAGAGCTGAATAGGAAGAATTCCTTCTTCCCCCCACCAATCAAATTAAGCATATCTAATACAGGCTGAAAGTTCACAGTTGTATACCACCCAAGCATGGAAATTTCCCTTCACCTGCAGTGGCGTATGAACTCTCTCCCCAGAGGGTTGCATCGTTGATGATGAAAGGTTTGAACTAAATGGTGAAGCCATATTGTTAAATGGTATATTTGGCAGGTGTGATTGGTGGGGCCTGTAGGACCATACCCAGCCAAGGTCGATACTTCAGGAGACATGGGGAGAAAATTGGGGTTGAAGGAATCTTGATAGACAAAAGCAAAAATGTTTCTGCTTCTAGTGAATTATTATCAAGAGATAACAACATTGTGACATCTAGCACTTTGAGACGTCTAAAGGACGTGAAAAGCACTATATCAAATGCAAGGATTATTATTATTATTATTATTATATTATATTATATAATTGTCTCAGCTCTGTTTTATCTCCTCAGAAAATTAGCCTGGTTTAACCTACTCTAGTAACTTGATATATTAGAACCATCGTCACTGCAGAATTTCCAAGCATAAGTTACCAGGCTTCAGTCTATCACTGGAGCTAATGCAAATAAGAGTCTGTAAGAAAACTTGAGAAGAATGGTTTGGGTAAATCACTAGAGGGTAGGTGCCATAAAACCATAAATGAAACATTAACTCATATAGTGTCTTTCACACTTTATAGTAACGTTGCTTTTTTCTATAAGTACAATTACAACAGTATGCAATTAACTTATTTTTTCATTATCATTATTATCAAGAGGTAACAATATTGTGACATCAGTTCAGTGCATAAATAGGCTGAATATTCAGATCATTGAAGGTAAGTAACAGCAACAATACTTGTATTATATATAATAATAATCCTTGCATTTGATATAGCACCTTTCACATCTTCTAGATGTCTCAAAGTGCTTCACAGAATATACTGTAAAGTGAATTGCCTGTATATTTGTGGGCGAAACATGGCAGCCAATTGCACACAGCAGTGTCCCACAAACAGTTGTGGATTGAAATGACCAAATAATTATTTTTTTTCTTGAGGGATTATTATCAGGCGTGTGGATTAAGGAAACTTGTCCGAGGTTTCACCCTGCTAGGAATCGAACCCAGGTGTCTCACTTCCAAGACGAGCGCTCGAACCACTGAGCTACAGAACTGAAGGATGGTAATTAGATGATACTTTAAACTGACATCTAATCCACTTTTCAGGTGGACGTTAAAGATCCTACGGCATTAATTGAAAAGAGAATGGAGTGTTTCTCGAAATCCTGTCAGCAATCTCACAAATAAAACAAATGATTATTCACTTTACGTCTGGTTGTGGGACAATGCCGTGCATAAATTGGTTGTTGCGTTCATCCATAAAATACAGTCACAACACTTTACAGTACAAACCTGTGAAACAATTAGAAACATCTTCCCGGTGTGAAAGGTGTTATATTTCCAACAATTTTTGTACAAGAATGTCCCTCAAACAGTCAGGAAGTGAATAGCAATGTTTATCTGGTTGATTGTTGGCCAGGACACTGGGAGAAACTCCCTTCACTTTTTGAATATTATCATGGGATCCTTAACATCCATCTGAACAGACATTTGGGACCTCAGTTTAACATCGCATCTGAAGGATGGATATGTTTTTGTCTCTGGAATTTTATCGTCAGCCTGCACATATACGTTTGATAATATCTAAAGGTTTTATCTCCGTGGAATTGAGATCAAAATGATTTAAATGGTCAAATCAAATTATTTTAAGTTATCCTTAAATCTTGTTAGTGAAACAAGATGAAATGCCAATTATTGTTTCTTGATAGAAATAAAGATATAGATCTGGATTAGTCATTGCTTTAGTTTTGTGAATCTCATGGGGGGTTTTATTTTTTCTCTACACTTTAAAACCTTAACCGAAAAAGGTTTTAAAAGATCAAGAATAATGCAATTAATGGCTACTTAGTTGTCTCGATTCAAGGTTAGTTGAGCAACTGGAAGTAGAGAGTGATGATGGATGGAAAAACTCTTACTGAGCAGGGAATTCATCAATGGCCAGTGCTAGGTACCATTCATGTTGGGGGAGGGGAAAACTGTATTGTTGGAGATCCTGTGCTTTAAATTGGATGTTAAACCAATGTCATATCTGCCCATCCAAGTTAAAGATCCCATGACACTATTCGAAAAGAGAAAGAAGTTTCCCCCAGTGTTTCCCAAGTAAATGAACAATTCTATTTGGAGGATTGTTGGCCAAGGCACCAGAAGAAACTCTATTCTCTTTTCAAACAGTGCATTGGATCTTTAACATCCACTTGAATAGGCATAGTTTAATGTCTTATCTGAAGAATGGCATTTTTGATAATCCAACACTTTCTCAGCATTGGAGTGGAGTTCACAATCTTGACTTGGAGCTTCAAATCATGTGACTCAGAGGTGAAAGTGCTAATCAACTGAGCCACGTTGACCCACAATATGCAACATTTCATAAATCTGCACGCCAGCTTTGTGCAGGGGCCATAGGAATTTTATCTGTATGTTTCCAATTGTAATACATGTGCTGCCAAAGCGAGCACAAGGTTGTCGGTAAGATGCTGTTATTCTAAATTGGCTACTGTGTTCACCTTCAAAATATAGTCAAAATAAGTTACAATATATCCTGTGAAGTGCTTAAAGACATTCTCTCGATGTGAAAGATGCTATATTAATTGTAGGGATTATTATTCAAAAAATATTTGTAGAACAAACTTGTAATATTTTAAAATGTGCATATTATACTAAGTGACAAGGATAAGCGAGATGAATAGCATTCAAAGATATCTGGACCAACTAAACAGATGAGCTGGATAAGGACAGATGGAGTTTAATGTGAATAAATCTAAAGCAATGCATATTGAAACAGGAAACATATGCAGATATTGAATGGTGCCCATTAGCAAAGGAGGAAAAGGAAAGGATTTAGGTGGGATTATTAATCATTACATTAAACTCTTCAGTAGGCCCGATACTGTCGGCAACAATTAAATTACCTAATTAAATATTAGACTCCAGCTCAACAACATCAACTCTTACATTTTGAGAAATTGTTGCAGGTGAGTATTAAAGTGGTTAAAGATGAGAGGAGAGGGTATGAAGTGGATGGACTCCAGGATAGAATTTTTCTGAGGGGAGGGAGCGGCCAGAGACGTATAGTTGCAGGGAGATTACAGATAGTGAAGGGCAAGGCCATGGAGGGAGTTGAACATGATATGAGAACCCCAAATTTGATAGACTGGGAATGGACAGCCAGTGGAGCATAGACTCATTTGAGGGAGGACATGGGCTGCAGAGTTCTGGATGGTATGCAACTTGTGTAGGGAGGAATGGGAACTTTGAATAGTCACAAGGACCATTTACTGTAAATTGAAGCTTGTTTTATTCTAACCTCAAATAGATCACTGGTGAGTTCACATTTGAGAGATGGAATGCAGTTTGAAACCTTACCTGTTAAAGGATATTAATACATGACTTGTTTTTAATTGGGAAAAAAGTTTGAGGAAAGACCAAAGCTAGGTCTTTTAAATGCTGAGAGGCATGAATAATTTAGATGTAAGGGCTTTTTTGATGTGGTTTGTAAGTGTAGATTTATATGACACACAATCAAAATTTACACATTTATTTTAAAGGATCTAGGAAAGCTTGATAAATATCTGATCGAGAACAGTACTTACTTACAGGAAGAGACGCAGGCTTAACTAATCCAAAATTCAATGGGATATGATGTGCCATTATGTTCCACTGGATCAGGAAACAGTAGGGAGGATTGCCTGCTCTCTCTCTTTCTTCATGCTTTCTTATATATTTCACTTGATGGCCATAATGAAGGATGACAAATCAGCAAGTGTCAGCCTGGCTCAGTTGGTAGCATGCATGCATCTGAGTCAGATGGTTGTGGGTTCAAGCCCTATGTCAGGATATGAATTCATACGGTCTTGGCTGACACATCAATGTAATACGGTTGGGTGTTGCATTGTCACCGACAAAATATACAGTCAATTCACTTTACAGTATTTTCTGTGAAGCGCTTTGAGATGTCTAGAAAATGTAACAAGGCGCTATATCAAATGCAAGGATTATTATTATTATTGTTGTCGGAGGTGCGTCCTTTGGATGAAACGTTAAATCATTGATGGTCGGTTCAGGTGGACTGTAAGGGTCCCATGGTTCTATACGAAAAGTGAATAGAGTTTCTTCTGGTATCCTTGCCAACAATTCCACAGATAAAATTGGTTACTCATTCACGGCTGCTTTGTGAGATATTACTGTGTGCCAATTGGCCAGCATGTGTATCTACAAAATACACAGTCACTATAGTTTACAATATATTCTGTGACATGTTTTGAAACCTCCTCACGATGTGAAATGCACTGCATCAAATGCTAGGATTATTGTTATTATTATTCAATTTGCCAATTTAAAATGTCAAACTTCAGATTGATTTGGCAATGAGAGTTTACTTGACGAATGCTGTTGACAATCTGTGATAGTCTATACGGATACTATAATTACTGTCATGCAGGTGCGTATTTGAATTCAGGTTATTCTTAAGAAGACTGGATATGATTATAAACCGTGGTTCAGATTATAAATAAATCTTCACGTTGCTAAATTACACAGAAAAAATTAAAAACATGCATCACTGATATTTTTACTGAGCCCCAGCCAAGCAAGATAAAGCAATGATCTCCATTTAAATTAAAAGAAAAACAGATCTATTTCAATGCATTACAGGGTGGTACCATTTTTTCCTTTAGATATTTTATATTGTCGCATCAAATGAAGGTTAGCCAATTTCTTGATAATATTTCAGAGCTGTAGTAAAGTGCTGTCTCAGAGTCTATAAAATCCTGAACATAAACTGGAGGACTCCATTATGAAGCAAAACATTTACCATTATTGAAATACATAATTGAGATGGGCTTGAAAGAATATTTCAAACGCTCTTGTTCCTTGTGGGTGAACTGCCTACATTATTGCACTTCACCCAGCAGGGTTTTAATTTAGTCTCATCTTTAGATATCATCATTAATACATTTTGGAGCCATGCAAAACACTTCTTTTTACAGTGCAACAATGACATCTGGTGGTGGTTTGGTTAGAATATCCAAACCAGACGGAAAGTTTCACTTGCGGATGCAACCCACATAAAGAAATCTATAGTTAATCAAAATCTCTAGAATATTTATCTATCCCTCATTGCTCTTATTCAATCCTAGCCTTCCTCATTCCACAGACAATATTCTCTCACTTTATCCACACCTCAACCTTGATCCTCCTTCCTCAATTGCTATGTAGGGAACCGGACAGCAGCCTTACAACAACAGCAACAACAAAATTACACATGGAAAGCGCCTTTTAAGTCGAGAGGAAATGCCAAGGTGCCGTACAGTAAATATTTCAGACCCGAGCTGGGGGTTGGAATTGGGGAAGGTGGAGGGCAGTGGGGGAGGCAGGGTGATTGAGAGTACGGTTGAAGAGGAAGATCTTGAGATAGAACTTGAAGGAGGCAAGGGAGAGGGCGAGGCGGAGGGACTGCGGGATGGAGTTCCAGAGGGTGGGGGCAGACTGGTAGAAGGCCCGACCGCCAATGGTGTGGGCGGGTGAGGTGGGGGATGTGAAGCAGGCCGGAACCTGCTGAGCGGAGGGAGCGGGCAGGATAGTAGGGAGGAACAAAACCATGGAGGCCTTTGAAGGTGAGGACCAGGATCTTGAACTGTATCCTCTATGTGCTAGGAAGCCAGTGGAGGCGGGAGAGAATGGGGGTGATAGGATCACGGAGCCTGGTGTGGGAGAGGACACAGGCTGCAGAGTTCTGGATGATCTGCAGCCCATGGAGGGAGGAGTTGGGGAGACCAACAAGCAGTGAGTTTGCATAGTCAAGCATTGATGTTATGAATGCATGTATGAAGGTTTCAGCGGCCTGCGGTGTGAGACAGTGGCAGAGACGGTGATGTTGTGGAGGTGGGGAAGGCAGAGCGGGTCATGGCAAGGGTGTGGGGTAGAAAGAATAGTTGAGGGTTAAGCAAGATGCCAAGGTTCCGGACTGTCTTAGCAAAGTGGAGTGTGCAACTATGGATGGTGACGCTGTCAGCGCTTGAGGTGTGGAGGTGCTGATGGAAGCCAATCAGGAGAGCCTCGGTTTTGTTGACAAGCAGGAGCAATGGAGGGTAGAGGACAGGGGTGGAAACATTTTGGGGAAGCAGCTTGGGTTGGTGGCGGCAGCCAAAATGCGCACGCTGAGACTTAGAGGGAAAGGGGCCTGGTGAGGGGCGACTAGGCATGGTTATCCCACTGGCATGGGTCGTCATGGGGAGAAGGGGACAATCTTACAGTCCCAGTCAGTCCAGGCTGAGAAATTCAAAGGATGTGACGTCACACGGCAGCAGGTCTCTGGTTGTCTGTTGACCAGGAGAGTCAGCAATGGCCGCGACATTTAATTGAGCCTTTATAACCTATCCCTGGGGACCTGTTCCCTTCTGGAACCTTACTAAGCCATTTTCAAGGTGATCAGTTATGAGAAAAGTTATAGCAAAACCAACTTAACCGACTTGTTACCCATTGGAGTGCTCCATGCTAGAGTGTGAAGCTCTAACATGTACTGGAATTCAACTCATCCAAAATGCAACTCATCCAAAACTCCACCTCCTGCATTCTCATCCACACTAAACTCCACACCCCAATTACCCCAGTTCTTGCAAAACTCCACTGGCTCCCTGTCACAAAGTGGATCGACTTCAAGATCCTCAGTCTTGTGTTTAAATCCCTCCACGTCTTGGCACCCCACCCTACCTTTCCAACCTCTTCTCTCCGCATAGCACTACCTGCTGCCTCGGCTCTATTGGCTCCGGCCTCCTCCTTGTCCCTCGAATTCTTCATTCCACCATTCTCGGTCATGCCTTCAGCCACTACGCCCCAAAGCTATGGAACTCCCTCCCTCAATTCCTTTGCCTTGCCCCCTCTTTCCCCATTTTCAGGTTGTACCTGAAGACCTTCTTCTTCGACCATGCCTACAGTCACCTTCCCCCTCCCCTTGGCTCGGCATCAGGCTCCACCATTGTTAAGCATTCTGGGATGCTGCCCGTCATGGAAGGCGCTATAAAAATTTAAGTTGTTGTTGTTGGAATCTCTCTCGTTTCTTCAGTTACTCTTTGTAATTCTCTTTATTATTGCACATTAGTGCCAAATTTCAAGATCAAACAAGCAGCAAGAACCACAAACAAGTATATTGTCATGGGCCTGCAAAACTCTTTGATGTTGGACAAGTGAAGATGATTGTGTTGTCATAAGAAGTAATAATCATAACTCAGTCACTGCCGGATTATTGACTAATAATCCACAGTTCATAAGAATGGAATACAGTTCAGGGTGAAATATGCAACTTGTGATTGCTGATTAGTATCAGTGATTACCAGTAATGCTACAACAACCTGCATTTATGAAGACCCCTTCACCCCTTTAGTATAGTGTCTCAGAGTGCTGCAGATTAATTATCACATTACAAAAATAATTGTTCAAAAATAGTCAACAGTTATTCAAT